CAACCCATTTTCAAAAATGCAGCGTTATGTTAAATGCACTGGGTTTTACCCTATTACATTTAAATTTCATGGCTAAACAGTACATGTTAAAATCTAAGCTCAACTAGCGCAAGAGTGGCAGTGACCTAAAATACATAAATATAATTTTACTTACAGAAAAAAATGAAGTGGAGACTCATTGGACGCTCCATTAGTGCAATTAATGCCACAGCAAGTCATTTTGTCCAACAATTGCACAAATAATATCCAAAAAGAATACACAAACGCTACAAATAATGGCCTAAGTTGAGAGACTGAAAATGGCAGAACAGTTTTCAGGCGAGGCAGAGGCTCAGGCTGAGGCCTTTCCCCGGAGCTAGCTCTGCGGTCACGTGGGTCTGATGCTCATTAATTATTCAGAATTTTAGGCATTTAATGCACTTAAACAGAAGAGTGACAAAAAGTGTAAACTAGATCTATTAAACCTAACATGTTTTAGAACCAGGCTGTAAACATGTTTATTTCTGCTGTGAAATTGGTATTTTTAACATGGGAGTCAATGAGGATTTGCTCGCTTCTGACACCAGCCCCCAGTGGATGAGGGTGGAACTGCAATTTGTGTCACTTCCTGTTTTGTTTCATATCGAGACCTGAATTATGGGGGCTTGGGCGACCCGGATGTGGCCCACGGTCAGCCAGTAGAGGTTCACTGGTCTAAAGAAACATATAACCTGCTGCCATTGTACCTTGGAAGTTTTTATTTTATTGTGTTATTCAGTTAACGAGGGAGCACTTTCTTGCACAGGAGGTTAGCATTCTGTAGAGTTTCCTTTTACTGTCGGTTAATCCTAATGACAATAATAACAGGTTATTATCTTATTTAGCAGATAACATGCCAATGTTCCTTACCTAAAGAAGTAGAATCAGTAAGTTAACATGTTTGTGTTTTTCAGGGTGTATTGAGTATTTATTTTATTCAGTTTATTGGTTGCATGTAGAATTTTTTTAAGGTTTGTTTGAACCTGCTACATTATGAAGTTAGGATAAATGTAGTTTAATCTGTGTTTAATGAAATACCTCATCATGACCTAATGAGCTGAACTAACCACTAAGACAGATGATGATGATGATGATGATGATCAGATAGAAAACCTTGGCTCCTGGCCGGTAACTCTGGGATTCCCTCTCTGACTCCACTTTCTCTAATTCAGTTCATTAGATGAACTCCTCCTTCCCAGACCAATTATTGGTAACCATGGAGGCCTGATGGAACCGGTCTGACGGCACAAATGTTTCCTGAGAACACAAAGAGCCCATTATTCAGCTGATGCCCCTATCAGTGGTGAAATACTACTCGGCTGTGAGCATACAGGAGCATACAGGATTATGATAAAAGAGAGACAGAACAAAGTGTACTAGTGATACTGTTAGGATTAAGAAATTTGTCTCCCAAGGCCTTTTTTCTGCTTGTTTGGATGTTTTCCATGAATGGTGTTGATGTAATTTTTCTTGGTTCAATCTCCAGCTTTGAACAAAAGAGACTATTTGTTTGGAAAGTTGTTGGGAACGTTTCTGAGTTATGGTTGTCATTGAGCATCGGAGTTGAGTAAACCGCTAAGAAGTCCCATTCTGAGTGAAATGGGATCCCCAGAAGATAAGTTTTCCATGTTTACAATTACAATTATAGTAAGAGTAATTTCCTTCCACACCATATATATATATATATATATATATATATATATATATATATATATATATATATATATATATATATCACCTCCGACAGAACTTCCAAAATGGGGGACAATGAGTCTGAATGGACCCTGTTCCGTGCCTCCATTGTTGAGGCGGCCGACTAGAGCTGTGGTCGCAGGATCGTGGGTGCCTGTCGTGGTGGCAACCCCTGAACGCGTTGGCGGACACCGGCGGTTAGGGATGGTGTCAAGCTGAAGAAAGAGTCCTATCAGGTCTTTTTGGCCCGTGGGACTCCGGAGGCAGCTGACGGGTACCGGCAGTCCAAGCGGAACGTGGCTCGGGTGGCCGCCAAGGCAAAAACCCGGGCATGGGAGGAGTTCGGTGAGACCATGGAGCAAGACTTCCATACGGCTTCGAGGAGATTCTGGTCCACCATCCGGCGCCTCGGGGGTGGGGAAAGCAGTGCGCTACCAACACTATCTATAGTGGGGACGGTGTGCTGCTGACCTCTACTCAGGACGTTGTGGATCGGTGGGCAGAATACTTCGAAGACCTCCTCAATCCCACCGACACGTCTTCCAGTGAGGAAGCAGAGTCTGGGGACTTTGGGTTGGCCTTAAATCTCTGGTGCTGAGGTCACTGAGGTGGTTAAAAAGCTCCTCTGTGGCAAGGCTCCGGGGGTGGATGAGATCTGCCCCGAGTTCCTTAAGGCTCTGGATGTTATGGGGCTATGTTGGCTGATGCGGCTCTGCAATATCGCGTGGACATCGGGGGCAGTCCCACTGGACAGGCAGACCGGGGTGGTGGTTCCCTTATTTAAAAAGAGGGGCCGCAGGGTGTGTTCCAGCTACAGGGGGATCACACTCCTGAGCCTTCCTGGTAAGGTCTATTCAGGGGTTCTGGAGAGGAGGGTCCGTCGGATTGTTGAAACTCAGATTCAGGAGGAGCAATGTAGTTCTCGTCCTGGCCGTGGAACACTGGACCAGCTCTATACCCTTAGGGGGATCCTGGAGGGTGCGTGGGAATTTGCCCAACCAGTCTACATGTGTTTTGTGGATTTGGAGAAGGCGTTTGACCGTGTCCCTCGGGGGACCCTGTGGGGGGTACTCCGGGAGTATGGGGTACCAGGCCCTCTGATATGGGCTGTTAGGTCCCTGTATGACTGGTGTCAGAGCTTGGTCCGCATTGCCGGCAGTAAGTCGGGCTCGTTCCCAGTGATAGTTGGACTCCGCCAAGGCTGCCCTTTGTCACCGATTCTGTTCATAACCTTTATGGACAGGATTTGTACGCGCAGCCAAGGTGTGGAGGGCATCCGTTTTGGTGGCCTGAGGATCAGGTCTCTGCTTTTTGCAGATGATGTGGTCCTGTTGGCTTCATCAGAACGTGATCTTCAGCTTTCGCTGGAGCGGTTCGCAGCCGAGTGTGAAGCAGCTGGGATGAGAATCAGCTCCTCTAAATCTGAGACCATGGTCTTGATTTGGAAAAGGGTAGAATGCCTTCTCCGGGTCAGGGATGAGGTCCTGCCCCAAGTGGAGGACTTTAAGTATCTCGGGGTCTTGTTAACGAGTGAGGGAAAGATGGAGCGTGAGATAGATAGGCGGATTGGTGCTGCATCTGCATCCAACTGCTTAGAAGGTGAGGAATAAGATAGTCGTCGTCGTCTTCCTCCACTTATCCGGGCCCGGGTCGCGGGGGCAGCATCCCAACTAGGGAGCTGAGAAATAAGATTTAAGGGGAAATATAAATTCTGTAAATCTTTTCAGTGCTAGCAAATTTGAAAGGTGTGGAACGCTGAACCCATTTTAAAAATCTTATTTCTGATTAAAGTCGTGTTTCACTCAGGTTCACTGAAAAAACAATTACCGGTATTTCTAATTATAATCAGTCATGCAGGGCAGGCTGAACATGAAAATAGTCTCCTACACCTATCTCCTGCATTAACTTCTGGTAGAAAACAGATGGTGAAACTCTTGGATTAGAAGATCCTGACAGATCTACGTCACACTGTCACTTAAAATTCATGCACTCATCCATCTTGACTCACGACGGGGAAGGCTGTTGTTGGCTTAGCATCCGGGAATCAGCAGCAAACGTCTTGTGTAATAGAAGCTATCCGTTAGCATTAGCAACACCACCAATTCAATTTTCAATTCAATTCAACTTTATTTATATCGCGCCAAATCACGACAAGAGTCGTCTCAAGGCACTTCACATAATAAACATTCCAATACAGGTCAGTTCATTAAGCCAATCAGAAAAAAGTTTCCTTTATAAGGAACCCAGCAAATTGCATCGAGTGACCACACAGCAGAACTCCTCCAGGCTTGTGTTATTTGTGGAGATAAAACATCAACATTGCAAGTCAATGGTAGCTGATGTTCAATCTGCAACGAGAGGTCCAAATATCAGGAAATGAGACTCTAAATCCTGCTCTCTGAGTCTCAGCTGTGACCCAGCTCACTTCTGGTGCCAGGAAACGGGGCACCTGTTTTTTTGCCCCCTGAGTACAAGACATTTATTCGTACTAGAGATTACTGCAAATGTATTGATTAAGTGAGTGTTCCACACCTTTAAAAACACTTATATCACTCTCCAAAGAGAGCAGCTTTGCTACGCTGCACGATTTACTCCCACAGCATCCCAGAGCCACAGCTGCCTCCAACCTCTCTGAGATCCAAGCCAGGTGAAGGTTGTGTTTGGTTTACATTTCACCTTTAAACGTTTAGAGAGATGAAGTGGAACCCATTGATCTACACTGGGAGCTCAGCTGGGGTCAAAGGTCATCTGTGGGCAGAGGCAAACAGATACACCCCTAGTGAATGGTCATATATTTAAATGGAGCTATTTTATGTTATTTAACATGTGTGTGGATGTGTTTTATCCATCGGTATAAATATCATATATCATATCAATGCTGACTCAGTTCATGCTGAACATGTCCCTGTTTCTGAGTCAGACAACAAAGAGAAATAAATGTATTTATGTTAGTTTTGTATCTTCATCAGACGTCACACCTGAGACGCAGTCTTAGATATTCATGGATCAGAACAATAAAAATATAACAACGAAAAAGACGTCACATTTAAGAGCTTGTTGAAGAACAAGTGATGTCACTTCACGTCTGAAGAGTCAGACATGGTGAAGCCTGTTGACAGCAGCTGATAATGTTTTTGCCTATCTGTGTGTAAATGAGGTTTATTTATTTAAATGAGACACATTCCAAAACAGGATTTATTTTTTTACGTAGGCCAACTGTTGGTCTGTTGAACTGATGATCTTCCATGTCTACTAGAATATAACGTCCATGTCTCTTGTGTGTTTTGCAGTCTTTCAGCAGCAGGCGGTCCCCGGCCTGCTGGAGCAGCAGAAGGTGAAGCAGGGTGGGGGAGGAGGGTCCATCCCATGTCAGAGCTGTGGGAAACCCTGTAAAGGAGAGGCCCTCCGAGTTCAGAACAAACACTTTCACATAAAGTGTTTTGCCTGCAAAGGTAGGTGGCTCTCAGGTGTGACCTCACGCTGGTTTAAGGACCAAAACCTCCCGGAACTCACATGTGCACCTCTGTTTTACTTTGTACCACACTTTTCCTAATACTCTAAACTGTTTTAGCAGACAGATGTTAAAAATCTTTCCTGAAAATTCTGCTTCATGTTGTTACCCATCAAATGTCCCTAACAGGTTCAGGTTGGGAATTTTATGCGTCCCGATTTCTCTAGAATAATCGGTGGATTATGCCCGTTTCCATTGTCCTGGTTTATATCCTGACGTCATATTCCAGCGGCACAACGCAACATCTCGTATGAGCTGCTGAACACAACACCAGGAGAACATGGTTCCTGCACTTAAAAGAAAACGATTGAGTGGCACCACAAAGTCCAGCCTATGAGCCAGTAGACTATAGTGTTTGGGAGTCACTAAATGAGAAAATATGTGGAACTGAGAGCAAACCTCAAGGACAGCTGGCAGAAAAATCCTCTCTCATAGATCAAGAGTTCAACTGTGTCATGGAGAACCCATCTAAGAACTCCTGCAGGAAGAACAGGACCCAGTCTATTGATCATCCAGGTGAAATTAGGTCAGACTGAACAGAAACACATTTCTGGAGAATCTGAATCATAAATCTGATTTCATACATGAAGACATGAAGCTGAAATTTTCATGAAGTGTTTAGAACATCTGCACATTTGAGCAGGAACGTTCCAGAACAGCATGGGCAATTTTTAATAAGTGGTTAGGTGTGTTCGAGGGGGTCATCAATGTAGTGTGTTTCAGTGAGTTATTGCATGTGTCGGACGTTTGAAGTATAAATACGTGTGTGTGTGTGTGTGCGCGCGCATGTGCGTGTGTGTGTGACTGGAGTGTGCGTTTGTGCCCTTTCCAGCCGTCACTCCCTCCATAACTCTTGTGTCAGACCACTGTTGCTGTCAACAGACTTTATGGTTGCTAAGCAACCGGAGGGGTCGCTGCAGTGTCGATAGCTTCCAAGAGTTGGTCTCTGTAAATCCTGAACTGTCTGTGCGACCATGCTCCTCCGACATCTTTGACTCAGCAATGATGAAAAGAAGCATTAGTATCACTATTACCCATAATTCATTTGGGATTCCAATTGCAATCTGCTGGCAGAAGGTTTGACCCTAGAGGAGAGAAAACTGTGAGCATAATGTTAATGCAGCCAGTTCAAGGAGGATGGTGTCTTGTGGTTGATCCATAACTTACTTTGTACATCAGTACCTCAAATTTATTTACTTATTTATTCATAAACAATTGTCATAGAGAATCACTTAATTTGGTGTAAAGCCTGTTTCACACTGGGAGCATCAGTGGAGCAGAACGGCAGCGGAACATCACTGCTTAGAGGATATGAGGTGTTTCAAACCAGCCACGGCCTAGAAGCAGCACGCCGCGCGGCGCAGGGCAGCACAGCGTTGCTAAAGATAGAATCAGGTTCTATTTTTGCCACAAGCCGCTTCTGGGACACGTCAATTTCCGCAGTTAACATAGGGCTAGACTGAAAATCACACACGGTTTCAATGTAAATCCCTGCTCATTTTCGTACTAAAAGGACTGCAGCGATGCGATTTCACACATATGTAGATGATGTGTTTGCTCCCATCGTCATTACAGAAGTGCAGAGGTGTGTGTTTCATGGCTTTATTCCTGGCAGTGGAGAGGAACAACATCATACATGACATCAAACAGATGTATCTAACGTGATTTCCTTCTTTATGGTTTAATGGCTGATGGCCTAAACCAACTGTGATCTTTGAAGTCTCGAGGGATTTTGTGATCTTGCGAGTCCAGCGAGGAGCACAGCGAAGAAGCTGTTCTGCGACCAAGAATCTCCTGGTGTGTAACGGACCGCAATCAAGTTCCCAAATAAAACATGCTGCCATTCCGCACCGCTGATGCTTCCAGTGTGAAAGGAGCGTAAAACTGTTGTACATCTTTTATCTCATCAGCAGGACGCCAATCTCTTCTGATTACAAGCTTTTATCCACATACTCATTTCTTTGTATACTCTCGGTCATGTAGAGTTCTGTGATGAGAAACAAATAACTGTCTTATTTTAGTTGATGTTAGTGTCCTGTATTTTGGGACAAATGGGATTGTCCCACGTAGCTTGCTGGTTGGCGGAATCTATTCACACTTGTGGTTTCCTCTTTTTTAGCTAATGAGAACCAAAGCTTTCCTTACTGGGCTGAAGGTCTTCCCTTCTCAAAAGCTTTGCTGTCAGAAAGCCTTTTAATGATCTTTGGGTCACATTTAAAAAATGCCTTATGGAAATGAATCAGATGTTAATACTTAAAGTCATTATAATGTTGTTACTGGATGTCCTGATTAGCAGGATAAACTGAGTGTTTTCTTTCCTAGATCAGGTTTTTGGGTGGCTTTCAGAAGAGCCGAGCTAATTTAATGCCATGCTTCTGTCGAACCAACAGTATGTAGGAGATCTGCTCACCTTAACATCTGGCCTCTTCTCTCTTCTATAAACACGGGATCAATTACATGTCCATCTAATCAGGGTTGATAAATGTATTCAGTATGCTTTAGCTGTGATGGGTGGCCAGAGCCAGTGGGTGTATTGTTTTATTATAAAACTTCCAGATGTGGATTTTGACAGATATCAGAAAATCAGGAGTGGAATTTAAATTAAACACATCTGGCTCAGTGGAAATCAGAGAATTAGCAGCCAAGTTTATCAATAAAGTGGGCGTTTGAATATCCCGGTTTGGTGTCAGAGGGGTTAAACTCTAATTCTAATTCACAATAAAATATAAAACGTGGTCTGAGATGAGGGCCAATCTCTGTGGGTATTTAGCGAAACAGACGGTTGCCTTAAAATGCTTGGTAGCAAGTAAACTTGGAATGCTTTCACCTTCTCAGTGGCCTAGTGGTAGAGTGTCCACCCTGGGACTGGGAGATTTGGGTTCAATCCTTGGAAACCAATGCCTCACTGCTTGACACTCAGCTTTAAGGGGTTAGATTAGGGGGTTGAATCACCAAATAGTTCCTGAGCATGGCCACAGCTGCAGCTCACCGCTCACTACGGGGATAGGTCAAATGCGGAAATGAATTTCACCATGTGTGATGATGACTATGGGATTTTTCATAAAAGCAAGCAAGCAGAGAAGCAATAATAACCCAGTATGAAGGAGTGGACCCAGAACCTTGTGGAGCCAAAGGTAAACTCAGCTTTTAGGACTGATTTTCATAGAAGTATCCAACCAACCAAACACCCACCCACCAACAAGTAGGTTTGGGCATCGCGCATCGCTTGGAGCCGGTTCCAACTGTTCAATTTTCCTGGAATCATTCAAAGTTTTTTATTTCGATTCCTAGAATGCCGACAGAAGAGGAATCCGCGGCCGATCTCCGTGAAAAATAAACGTGATCCGCAAATTGTGATCAATGCTTTTCAGAGCTGATCACACCAGCCGTCCGTGTGCAGCACGAGCCCCCCCCCCCCCCCCCCAGATAAATAAACGCGTCTGCCGAACTTTTACTCCGTAATGTAAACTTTAATTCCTGCAGCGTAGAGGAAGCTTATTAAAATACGTCAACACGGTGGATTTAATAGAAGCTTTATAGAACAAACTCTGGATGGTGTGAGGTGAGTTTGTCTCACTGCAGAAATAACAACACACACGGAGCGTCAGCAGTCAGACGCAGCCGCTCACCAACACGCGTGTGTGTTGTGAACATTTTAATTTCCTTTTTGAATTATTTCTGTTGAGTTTTAATGTTTAAAATCTGTTAGATTGTTACTGACAGCAGCTACATTTAAGTTTCACTTTCTGTTCTGACTGATCGCTGCTGCAGCATGGAGGTGTAGTTCTCAGTCATCCTGGACATGATCATCCTGAGAGTTTTAGCTGAAAACAGCTGGACGTTTCTGGATATGTTGGACACATTTAGGTTTTCTGTCTAAATGAAGGTTATGTAATTGTTCATAGAATTAAAAACCATGTTGAAGTTAAGATTGTTTCATCAAGTAGGACCTGTGGTTAGCTGGCTCATGTAAAACATGTCACGTCTTGAAAGAATCGTAATCAGGAATTGATAGGAACCGGAATCGAAACGAGGAATTGGAATCAGAATCGGAATCGTTTAAAATCAAAGATGCCCAACCCTTCCAACAAGCCAACCCACCATCTAACAAACCAACCAACCGAAACATCCACCCACCCACTCACCAACCAACCAGCCAAGGGGGTTGAGGGTCTACATCGCACACGAGCACGTTCTTTTTTTGATAGTTTCCTTTAAACTATGCTTATGTAAGGTCCAGTCTTACCAATGATGGTTTTATCCCTATTGGTAAATAATCTCCTCTTACACAAATTTTACTTTGTACAGGTTCTACAAAGTCATTTACAACCTGTTTATCATCCCCTGTAGTGTTTGTCAAAATGACAAACACTACAGGGGATATCAAGCCCCTGATCCTCCCTACTTTCTAATGACAACAATAGTTCAGGAGATAGAGTGGGTTGTCCAGTAATCAGAAGGTTGTAGGTTCAAACCCGCCTTTCCTGCTGTTGGTGGTCAGAGAGACAGGTGGTGCCTATGCTTGGAAAGCCTCACCACTGTCAGTGTGCCCCAGGCCAGCTGTGGCTACATATAGCTTATCACCAGGGTGTGTGTGCGTGTGTGTGTGTGTGTGTGTGTGTGTGTGTGTGTGTGTGTGTGTGTGTGTGTGTGTGTGAATGGATGAATGATAGACTGTAGTGCAATGCGCTTTGGAGTCCTCTGAAAGGCGCTATACAAGTGTGGGTCATTTATCTGAGCTCCAGATCTTAGAACCACCTGCCTGTGAAAATCAGACTCATTAATGTTAATTTCTCCTGTGTGTTTATTTATGTTTACTGTAATATTCTGTGTGAATCTTTGTGTAATCATTGTATTTGGATTAGTTCTGTAGTAAACAGGCTCTGAGGTGTGTTGGAGCGAGCTGGAACAGCACTGGCTTTCACTTGAACTTTAACGAGA